AAACGTATTGAATGATCAATACTACCACTAACTAAATGTTGAATATCATAACGTGAATATTCACTATGTGGATGAATTAAACATGTTATTGTTTGATTATGACCACTAAGTGTTTGAATATCTAAAGAAATTCGATGTTTTTTTTCTCTAATTAGAAACGAAATAAAAAAGAAAATTAAATACCAAAATTTTCTTTTTGTTGATTATTATTTGAAAAAAGACTTAAAATAAGTTTTAATGCTGGTACTATATAAATTTTTCCATTATCAGTACCAAATGCAAGACGATCCATTGTTATTAAATGACATGATGCTGTTAATTTATTTATTTTACATGGTAATATCTAAATAAATATTTTTGTATTTAAGTTAAAATAGAATTAAATTGAATAATAATATACATCATTTAAAATTTTTTTTATAGTACGAATATTTGTTAATGCATGTGACCAAGTATCTTTATAAGAAATTGAATATGTCGGAAGAATATCTATTGAAAAAAAAACAAGCATTGTTATGACATTAAGACAAAAAAAAATGATTAGATTTTACCAGTATCTGTTGAAAATTTTTTTAGATTTATATGCCAAACAGATATTTGACCTGAAGAATCAGCTCGATAAACTTGACATTGTTTTAATTTTGTATGACATGAAAAAATTGGTGTTTGAGCAAGTTTCTAGAATTAATAAATTAATGTTTCTCTTATTGTTCAAAAACACAAATCAAGAGGTGTTCCGAGCAGTTGGTTGGGGAAAAGTGCGATCCCTCAATTTTGAAAAATTTTCTTTTTTCTGATCAATTCCCAAAAAAGCATTCAACCCTGCCGAAATCTGGTCAACTTGAGCAAATCTTTGAAAAGTCTAAAAACAAAGTTTAAATGCATGCTGTTGTTCAGTTATTTTCATAAAAATGCCTATTTCGTTTAATTCGACTTTCTTTTTGATTGTATGACGTCTTGAATTAACACCTCTATAATAGACTGTCTTCCCAGCAATGATAGCTCTTATTGCATACATACCATAATAGAGATTGTTTTGCACAACATAAAGGTGAAGACTGTCCTCTACAAAGTTAGGTAAGAATCGAGAGTCTTGCAGCGATCAGTCAGAAACGACCGAGTTCACTTTTTAATCGTGGAGACCAAGGAACTGTAAACACGATATTGTATCTCTTATAGAAATTTTCATTGCTGATAGATGCCTTATAGAAAACTGATGATGAGGATATCCATTACTCTTGCTATTGATGTATTAAAGATTTGCTCATAACTCTCAATCTATGAGTCTTACGAAAGTTTGGAAAGAACGCATAATTCTGATTTTAACCAAATGTTTAATACTTTCTGTTGGTCATGTTGTTTTAAATCTTTTTTCTGACTATGCCAAATACTTTTCTTCTGGTACAACAATTCCTTATTTGGATTTGTAATCTTCTTAATTTCATCAAATAAAAATACAAATCTTACTAATTCATTTCCAACATTTAATCTGCATAACCATTGTGGTAATTGCATATCACCTTTATTATGTTGTGAACGAAATTTTGGATTCATAAAGGTTGCACTAAAAAAATTAGAATTAAACAAAAAAAAAAACTTTAAGCAATTCATTTAAATTACTTTTCTGGCAGACGAAAAATATGTCCATAACCTCGAGCAGAAAAAAGAATAACTAAATCTGGTGTGGGAAAATATCCATTTATCCAATGTTCATTTTTAACTATATCTTTGTCATCCATTACATATGAACATAATTCTGTAAAATCAATTCCATCAAATATCTAAAATAATCATTAATCTTTATTGAAATCAACAAAGAAAAAAACGTATCACTTACCTGCCAACCTTGACCATAAACAATAAGCATCATTCTTTGACATTCTTCACAAGGTACAATAATTGAACCAAATTGTGTACGAATTTCTTTACTTTCATGTTCTTTAAGATCAATTGGTAAAATATTATTATTATTTCCTATACTTGTACCTTCAATAGCTGTCTAAAAAAATTTTCATAAATATTTTATAATTCAGTTTATTAAAATATTTATACTTACATTTGAAGTAGCTGTACGAGGATCAAATGCCCATAATTTAACACAACCACTGTCAAGTAATCCAATAGCAATAATAACATCTATACAAATAAATAAATATTTTTTATTTTTCTAATATTTATCCTAAATAAACCTGGAGCATTTGCTTTTTGAAAAACAAAAAATGTTGATATCCAATCTGCATTAACATTTGATGGTGTAAGAGTATATTTAATTTCAAGTGTACGCATATCATAAATAAGTATTTCCGAATAACAACCACAACATATAAGAAAATTTTCATTTGTTAATTGATAATTAAAACACTAAAAACAAAAAAGAATAAATAAATAAATATATAAAAATAAAAATTTTATTTACTTGAGCAGAACGATGTTTAAGATTAGTTCGTATATGTTCAATACAATGACCATCTTCATTATTCCATGATTTAATTTCACTTTAAAATCAAAATAAAATAAAATAAAATAAAGAAATATTCTTCATTACATACCCATCATTATCTGAAATACTTATAAATTGTTCGAGTTGATGTGTTGATGTTGAAGCAACAATAAATGAAACTTGATTTGTATGACCAATTAACATTAATCTTGGAATAATCTAAATAAAAAAAATTTCGATTAAGAAAAGAACCAAAAGAAAAGAAAGAACTTTAATTTACTTTTTGATGATCAGATAAAATTTTCCAGCAAACGATAAAACCATCATTTGTACCCGTTATAAGATCATCACTTGCAAAATTTATAAACAATGATGACACTGATAATGATGGAGGATTTTCAGGCCATAGTGCAAATGGTAACAGTATTCGTGAACTACAAGCCATGATATTTAATTATACAAAGTTTCTATTAGAAAAAAAGGGTAAACTATCATTTGTAGAGAAAAAAAAACAAACTAATATGATTCATCTCGAAATAGGATTCGATATTTATTTCATCAAATGATGAAAAGGCGGCATTTCATTCGATCATTTTAATCCATTCAGAAATTATCACTTACTTACGTACATACTAATGAAAAAAAGAGAGCAATACATTTGTCTGTTATTTATCCAAAAAGAAAATTGTTTTATGATTGTACATTGAACGAACAAATGGTATTAATCGACATTTTTTTTATTTTTGTATTATCAATTATGTACATTCAGGAAACTTGTTGCATAATTGCCACAGCTTCCAGTCATTCATTGCGAGCATGATTTCTTTCTGATCATCTGTATGGTTATTTCGTTATACAATACTATTTCTTGTATTTTATATTACTTAAATGTAATCATACCATTGGAAATTTATTTAAAACGTATGTAAAAAGAACATGTTTTATTTTTAGAAAATCAATTTTTTTTTTATAAATCAAACATCAAATAATCATTGATTGAAACTAATTATTATATAAAATTGTGTCGCGTATATCTTTTAACAAACAAAAAACATCATAGATAAATTTTTGTATATACCAAAAAAATATTACTAATAGTGGAGTATATTTATTTAAAAATTTTGAAACACGTCTTTTATTCAGATATGTTTCTTATCACTGACATATTAGTAGGCCGTATTTTTACTGGCAGGTGTACTAAGCGTAAGTACAAAATATACAGAACACCTGCTGCTTGAGTCATACACGATATTTCACATATTACTCAAAAATTAATGTGTAGCCTGTACACTTTACTGAATAGAATAATATATTGTTTCGAAAAAGATAGATGAATTTTTAAGTGAAAAAATAGTAAATGTAATTTATTCGATTAATTTAAAGTGCTTTGCTTTTTTCTTCTGTTTTTCAATCACTCTTTGATTACATCAGAAAAAAAAGCAAAATAATGTTTTTTTGCTTATCTTTTTTATTATCAACAGGTATTGTTTGTCACACAAAAAAACAAATTTTTCTTCCTGTTGTTTATTAAATATATAAGTTAAAAGAACTACGTTATTGTACGTTTTGATACACCTAGATGATGATTAAAAAAAAGTATCTACGAACACCTTGCTAGTATAAATAGAATGTACAAAAACACTTTGTTGATAATTTTCATTAGAAATGCTATCATCAGGTATGTTGAAATTGGTTTATAATAACATGATTTTACATGCTATATGTAATAAAAGAGTGAATCATCTCCTATATAGCTGTTTATCTTCTATTGTTGTGCTGTAATCATTTCATAAAAATAAAAAATAAAAATTCCTTGCCTGTCTTTTATAAAACGGATGTGTGTCAATAGAAATTTAGCGAATTTTGTTAAAAACATTTATTCAGTTTATCATCTTGTTCTGTTCTTACAAAAAACTTCCTTCATGCGGTTTATTGCCGAATAATTATTATTGTTCTGTAAGACTTCTTAAGACATTTCTATTTGACGTCCTTATCTGACTACTAGCAATGAGAAATGAATAAATATCTTTTGTGTTCTCTATATCTACGCCTTATTTACACTAGGAAAAAAAGTTACACAAACATTACTACTTTTTACGCATTGATTCTTTTAAATAACTATACATAAAACAAAAACAGGAAATTATTTTGTAAAAGATTTGTCACAGGAAAATTTTCAAATTATTAATCTGTTATCGAACCAATGATCGATAAAATATTTTAATATTTTTGAGTATGTTTATTGGGTGGAAATTAGTCGTGAAGTTGTTGAATTTTATAATATCTTAATTTTTGATTATAGTTGAAGTAAAGCATTCAAACAGAAAGCAATATTTTATTATTTTAGATATGTTCAATATTTTTTCATATTATTTATTCGATAAAAAATTCTATTAATTAACTTAATAAAATCACACAAACAAAGAAGAAATAAAACAAAAAAAACCCATCAATTAAAACCTTAATTTCTAAATGTTCTGCAGTCATCGAACATTATCATCGTTGAAATTATACTATTTCTCATTTTATTCTCATTTTATTCATTATTACAATCGGTACCATGCCTACAACTATTCTCATTGACACACATAACACCAGTGAACAACAGCAACAACAACAACAACAACAAATAGGTTCAAATCGTTCATCGTATATTCATTTATTAGCAGGAGGGTAAAAAAAACAAATATTGATTTTAATTTTATTCATTAGAATTGTTTTTTTTTTCTTTAAGACTTGCTGGTACACTTGGAGCCGTACTAACATGCCCATTAGAAGTAATCAAAACTCGTTATCAATCATCAAAGATTTCCGTTTCCAAAGAATATAATTATCTTAATTTACGTTCATCTATGAGTAATACCGTAAGATATAATATTTACCGTTCAATGTCATCACAAAATAAACGTCCAAGTATCATAGCTGCGTTTCGGTATAAATTTTAACTACTGAAAATTTTTCTTTTGTATATTTTGAAATTCATTATTTGTTTTTTTTAAAGATATATTCTAAAATATGAAGGTATTCCAGGACTTTTCAAAGGTATAGTACCAAATTTACTTGGTGTAGCACCATCCCGGTATGCATAAAAATTATTATGTTTATTTATTAGATATATTCATATTTATAGGGCAATTTATTTCTTTGCTTATGCTAATACAAAATCATTTCTAGTCGAAGAAATGGAACGAGAAACACCAATGGTACATGTTACATCGGCAGCTACTGCAGGTAGGATTTTAATAAACAATTGAAAAATTTGCATGTAAGTTGAAATGATAATTTTGAGAAATATAAAGAAAAAAAGACCATCAATTAAATGATTTCTGCGATCAAAAGCTACCTATGTCTTTAATCTTTAATACCGACAATGATATTTTTAATATTAATTAATTGAAGTTATCTAGTAGATCTACAAAAACTTTAAAGAGAGGCAAAATATATTTTGCAACCATCAGATTTGAGTTACGTTGATTTTTGAATAGTATAACTTGATATTTAAAAAAAAAAGGATATTACTTGGACAAGTCTCAGATTTTGCAAGGAAAAACAAAAAAATTGAATTTGATGAACAATCGTAATAAATCAATCTCTGAATTAGTTCAAATTCGGAGTAGATATTAGATCAGATTGAAGTCCAAAAAGGAAAAAGATAGATCGACTTTAAGTAAATATTTAAAAAATTTCTTTCATGTGACACTATCAATAAAACGTCTTGTGACATTTCTGATAGATGGCATTACATTTGCTTCGTTTTTTTTTCTTGTCGCTCATCAAATGTATCTATCAACGTCAGCGTATATAATGAAGCGGGTTTTTAACGCGAATTTTTTTATATCATCAATTCGATGAATTGATCTTAACTATTTGTCAAGCCTTGAATTTTAACAAAAAACATTTTTTTTTATATTCAAGGTATTGCTATGTCTACATGTACTAATCCGATATGGTTTGTTAAAACTCGACTTCAACTTGATCAAGGGTAAGTATTAAGGATTGTCCTTATGATTTGAAAATAAGACATATTATTCGAATTATTAATTCTATATAGAAAATATTGTTTTGAATATTTAAATGAGATGTCATAAACTAGTGTCTAAAGATATAGTGCTCCTTTAATGTCATGTATATAAAAGTTTAATGGCATAAAATGTAAAATTGAGAAAAATATTCAAGTTTTATAATGTTTATTCTAAGAGAAAATCTTAGACATTTCTTGTAATTATCAAAAAATATGGACTTGAAAATACTAGACGTTAGCAGAAAATTAATTGTTATTTTTTTTTCTTATTCATTCTTTCATCCAATCATATACTGCTTTTTTCCATATAAAATATATTCGCATGTAATATTGAATAATCACAAGAGAATTTCTAAAAAAGGAATTGAATTACTTACGTGTTAAAGTTAGTTAATCGGTTAATAAATAAATATGAATACAATAATCTAATTGTATTTTTAATATTTGAGAAATCTTCGTGCTCTCGATGTTGTTCGAAATATTTATCGTCAAAGTGGTTTTCGAGGCTTCTATAAAGGTATTTTCTTAATTGAAGCTAAACAAATATTGAAATTTTTTCTTATAAATAAAAAAAAAACCATAGGCATATCTGCATCATATATGGGTGTATCGGAAACAATAGTTCATTTTGTTATTTATGAACAACTAAAAGCACAATTACAATTAATGCAAGCAAATCAAAATCGTACATCTGACGAGCCTGATTTATTTGATTTTTTTTCATATTTGGGTGCTGCTGCATGTTCAAAATCTTGTGCAAGTACATTATGTTATCCTCATGAAGTTATTCGAACACGTTTAAGAGAAGAAGGTACTAAATATCGAACACTTATTCAAACAATACGAACAGTTATATATGAAGAAGGTATGCCTGGTCTTTATCGAGGTTTATTAACACATCTTATTCGACAAATTCCTGTAAGATTAAATTTCTTTTTTCGTTTTGAAATTTATTTATCTATTTATTCATTTAAATAATTTACAGAATACAGCTATTATGATGAGTACATACGAAATAGTGATTGCTTTATGTTTAACAAACACGACAGCACCATCAACAGTTGAAGTAACAACTGTACAAACAACAAAAGTTATACTAAAGAAAGTTGATGCAGAAGCCAATGCGTTAAAAGAAGCTGAAGCATAAAATATGTGTTTTTTTTTTTCGTTTCCTTTTTATCTTTGTATATCTATAGACTAGTAGTTTAATAAAAAAACAACCTGTCGGTGATTTTTTTTCTTGTTATCGTGTCATTTACTATTTTTTTATACTGTTCTTGTCGCCGGTGCATTAACATCATATTTTTTCTTTTGCCTTTTTCCTTTAACAACTGTACAGTATATACATATACATTTCTTGTTTGATTGTAAAACTGGTGCTCATTTTCATACGTTTTCCATCTGTATTCGTTTTCGCCAGTCTATATATATATATATATATATATATAAGAATACGTTGAAGTGTATCGCTGTCGAAGACGCTTGTAGTTATTTTCTTTTTTATTTCTACTCCTCATTGTGGTTCAACTGTGTAGAATACAGAAGTTTCTTTGCCACCTGTGAAATTACGGTCGAAAATAAGAACATTGTTAATTTTTTTTTTCTTTAACTGCGTATATATATATTTTTTTTTTCGCTGAATGGCCATGATCAATCGAGAGAAAATCAATATATGAAAATAATTATATAGCCAAGAAAAATGCAGTATGTATTTCCCAATATGAATTCTGTTTTTTTTTCCTATGAGAATACGAGAAAATTGCTTTTGAGAAAAGTTTTAATAACGAGAAAAGTTTCCCAAATGATACTCATTGCAAACAAAAATAGGCAAATGGATATTTTTTTTTTGGATAATTTTTGATAGAAACAAGATGGAGAGCTGCAATTTTAACCTTTAGAAAGAGGAGATAAAGATGCATCGAATCGTATATTACAAGTTCGTTTTTGAAAATTATCGGGTGTGCATTCGAACCGCCAATGGCAGATCTAAAAATCTACACAAGCCTAAGATTTTTAGATTTAGTTATTCAGTAGTCATAGGTATTCTAGTTATCATTCTCAATCGATTTTTCAAGCAATTGCTATGAAAAAAAATCACATTTCTTACTTTTTTGTTTATTTTAAAAGGAACCATCTTTTCGCCATTTTTTTTATAAGTTTGATTAAAAACTTCAGAAAACATTTTAGGAGAACCTGTAATATATGATTCGATGCAACTTCATCCTCTCTTTTCTATTGTGAAAACAAAAAATATCCTCCACTTTTCTTTGAAATGGGTATTATTTCCGAAAATTAGGATCCTCAGGGACTCTTATAAAAAACCATATCTAACTGTCGTACAGAGATGGGATCGATTCGGTTTCGTGAACCGAACCGAACCGAGCCAAACCGAAATGAACCGATCGGTTCGGTTCGCTACTTTCAAACCGATATCGGTTCTGCTTCGGTTCGGTTGGCAACTTTCAAACCGATATCGGTTTCGGTTCGGTTCGAAACTTTTCAAACACATCTCAGTTTTTGTTCGGTTCGTTTCGTAGTTAAATTGATATAGTTTAAGTCAGTGTTTTGACATGTAAAACAAGAAACTAGAAAGAGAAAAGAGGTCCTTAGCAACAATAGCAATATTGATACATATTTTTTGTCATTCTTCGTTTAAGAAAAGAAGGTGTAAATAAACCAATCATGCCTTTAGTTTAGAAAAAACATTTAGATACTTTTGTTTTGAATTCAATACAATATGAATATTTTTCCCTTAATAAATATAGCTGATGTTATTGAATTTGATTCTTCATCATATTGTGAAAATGTTCAATTAAATGCTTCATCTTCTAATTCATCTTTTCCATCGATTTATCTAGCAAGCATGTTCGGTTGTTTTCAATCTTTATCTACTGAAAAAATAAGTTCGAACTTAAAATTTAATAAAAGAATTGGATGAGTATTGATATGAAAGACAAAAAAATTTCGATTGTTAGAAATGTTTCGGTATTCCTGCTCTAAAACTTGATGAAGAAAAAAGTGAATTATTCGAAAAATTTGTATCATGCAAGTATTGTTATATGACATATTCATATTCACCCGGTACTAGAAACATGAATAAATATATTCGAATTTGTAATGGGTTTAATTCTAGCCAAACTCATTTTATAACATCAACAGGAAATAATTCTTTACAATTAATTAATACATCAACATCATCACCTTTAATATCATCATCTTCATCTTCTTCAAATAACAAAACTCTTGAATCACACAAAAAAATAACAAATTTGTTAGCTGTATTTAGTTTTAGTTATTCCTAGTAGACTTCTAAAAAAAATTGTTTTTCGGTTCGGTTCAGTTCGGTTTGAAAACTTTTATTTTCGGTTCGGTTCGGTACAGTTTAGCATTCTTAAACAACCTGTCGGTTTCAGTTTGATTCTGTTTGAGAGATTTCGGTTTCGGTTCGGTTTAAATGTTGAAACACCTGAACCGATCCCATCTTTGCTGTCGGATGCTATTCGGCTTCATATTATTGCTACGATTAGTGTTTTTGGAGATTAAGACAAGTTTAAAAGGATTCGGTCGCATAGCCTAATGTTGAAGAGTTATGACTGTTTCAATAGAATTTTTAATAAGAACAACGAATTTTTAATAAGCACAAAGAATTTTAGGAAAAATCCGTAGCTATGAGTCTTGATCTGAAATTTTGTCTATAAGCAGATTCAATAGATATTAGATAAACTGGCAAGTTTCAACCAAAACGAAACGTCTTTCTCGAGATATTCAATTTCCAAGTAGATTTGATTGTCGTGTCCTATAGTGATAACAGCTTTTTTTGGGCGGGAAATGAATATCTCGAGACAAACGTGTTGATTTTTGTTGAAAACGTCAGAATCATCTCATCACTATTAAGTCTGCCTATATAAAAAAATTTCAGATAGAAACTCTTTACTCCGAGTTTTTTGGAAATCGCTTGTTCTTAGTAAAAATTTCATTCATAGGTCATGGACATGCATCCATATCCTTTTAAACTTTTCTTAGTCTCAAAGAGAACTACCACTGGTAATCATAATAAATAGTCGAACAGCATCCGACACATGGATGATTTAGTTTTTCATCAATCTACCATATACACATTTTTTCAGATACTTCAACCTTAAGTTTCAAATGTTAAGATGCAGCGTATGAAAATAAAAGGACTAGGTATGCAATAGTACCCTTTTAATGTTAATCTCTTTTCAAATAATGAAAAGATAAAGAAATTATGCATCGCATATATTACATTACATAATTACGGTCAACTTACCATTTTGTTTTGAAAATCTATATTCACTGTATCAATGTATTAATATTTTAGAAAATTAACAAACACGTGATTATATCTTAAAACCATTCTTCTTCTCTTCCAGAAGTTGTTATTTTTCTTTTTAAATACATTGTTTGAGATAAACGTATAGACATGATCTCTAAGGTGTCTAGTTTTAAAACTCATAAAAATTCGTTCTATTGAACTGCGACTTTTTTATGCCATAGGTAGATGTATTCTGTTTCTGATAATAGAAAAGGACTATGTATTTGACTCTCAATATTAAAACAATCGTGAGTTTTCTAGAACACCTTACCTCGGATTGTGGAGGTTTAAGATCTTCAGAACGAAAAAAATGAAATAAAATAAAAACTTTAAGAACTCATTTCCTTGCTCGAAGCAGTAAGGAGTTCTCTTTCAAATGAGAAGAGTCCGAACGCTATAGCTTGAAGGATATTGAAAAAACATTCGCATCCGTAACAGTCTTATTTTACATTTTGGACTCTGAAAATCTCCTGAACAGTAAGGTTTGAAGCCACAAAAATTTCTTTATTGATTCATTTCAATTGGCTGAACATCTTCAAAACGTTTCATGGAGATTCCATACACGATATCAAAAGTTGATTTTCGAGGAAGATGAGACGACTTTCATTGATTCAAGTTGATATTAACTCTATCTTAACCATTCAATAACAATGTGTTCAAACAAAACATATGATGCAAAAGTAATGGCACAAAATGTCGAGCCCTATTTTTCCTCGATAAAAGAGTACTGCAAGAAAACTTTGTTTACTAAACGAGAGAGCTTTTTCTCCTCTTTGAAATCGTATATAACTTATTTTTATAACGTGTTTATAAACGAAACGATACAACAGAAAAGAGAAGCATCCTTAGAAAAAAGTCTGCACTGTCCCTGAGATTCAGAAAAAAAATCAAACAATGATCCCTATATCCCTTTGATAACTCTTCGATAAACACGTTTCGAAAAGAATATTTGATTGTCAGTTGATAGGAAATCTTCTCCTCTTTCAACCAGTGTACGATTTGCGTTTGTCACACATTCGTAAATGAAACGACACGAGAGAAAACAAGAAACATTCGTGCAATAAATTTGTAATTTTTATATGAACTCGTCAGAAGCATCTTGTTAGAGAACAATTAATTCGATTTTTGCTGACTCATTAAAAAGATCTTGTGAATCAATCATTACTTTGACTTTTATGAAATCGTTAAAACCATCCTATAAAACAGCAATTAATTATAATTAGCTGTCATCTACAAGATGCTTTTGACGAATTCATATAAAAATTACAAATTTTTTCGGTGAAAGTTTCTCTTTCTTTCTTGTCTCGCTTCATTTACCAATGTGTGACAAATATAAATCATACACTGTTCGAAAGAGGAGAAAAGACTCTATCATTTGGTGAACAAAGTTTTCTATCAGCATCCTTTTATCGAAGAGAAACAGGGATCAATATTTTGTGCCATTACTTTTGCATGATATGTTATATTCAGTAAATACTGTATCCATACTATCAATGTTTTTTCATTCTTTCAATTAGTGATATGAGAATTTGTATCACATCTACAACATAGTAATGGATCACTCAGTATACTCTCTTTTATCCAGTGATTCATCTATGACGTTGTTATTTATTCTATTTCTTTAATTATGATATTTTGTACTAAATATGGTAATGTTATTCGTCGTTTGTGTATGTATGATAAAGAAACAGAAACAAATGTCACATGACTGTTTGTAATTAATATATGAAACTTCTTGCTTTGTAGCTTAACATTTGAAACTTAAGGTTTACGTATCTGTGGAAAAAGTATTTCTATAGATGTCCATACAATCATATATATTTCTACAGAAAAGAAGTCGACTTGTCACTTAAATAATTTTCTTTATAAACTTTGTGTTAATTTATTTTTTTCATTGAAACCATGGATTGTGCAAATGAAACAAATATAATATGTACGAACAGAAGATAAGATCTGTAATTGGATATTTATGCAATGTGTTGTTGTTCTTCGGTATTGAATAAGGTTATTTTAGTCTTGTATACACAGCATAGATACAAATGTAATAGAGAGATATAATTGAATAAATTTATTTTGAAGAAGACAAAAAGATTAATAAAATAAATAGATCATACCTATTATTCGAATCTTATTAAAATTCATTTATATAAACCGTTCAAAAAGATCTCGATCTAATTTTATTAAAAGCAGCAAAAAGTGTTGCTGTATTCATATTGGTATTAGTGCACCATTCGTACAATCCTGTTTCTAAAAATATTATACTCCCTGTTGTATATTAAACATATATATATGGAAATACGGCAACATTTATGAGAACACCTTCAATTTATTGATTAAAAATTGACAACTTGAACAAAGTTTTATTTTCTATAAAGCTAATAGCCGTTGTATATCTATTCATTTAAAACGATAGTTTGCAATTGTAATACTTTATCATGGACAGTCCCCCAAATCGGTCCCACCCAGAGATGTGTGAGAGCACGTTTTTCTGGTACTGATCCCGATCTAGAGAAAACTAATTCAGAATTTATTCGGATCATATCTAAAATAATTCTGAAATATTCATTTTTTTCGATTTATTTGATGGACGACTAATACTTTTTTGGATCATCTCTCTCTTGAATTCTGTTTTAATTCATATAATTCATAAGATAATTTACTTAAAACTATAGAATATTTTACTATGAACTTGAGTTCCGACTCAGCAAGCTTTTTTCTTGTAGTCTCTGTTCCGGTAAAGTTTTACATTTTGATCTTGCACATGTTTAGTTTCACCCCATTTTATGATTTCTCAATGCAGTCTCTAATATTACCAATTACAATGATCTATAATGGTATGTAATATACAGGAGAATAGCTAGTATAATAAAGAATAACCAGATAAATACAAAAGTTATTAACATTTATAACACACAGATACGTTATAGACACAATGAAAAAAGTTAAGTTGTTTATTTTTACGGATTTTACCGCATTGAATTTGTAATTATAAACGTTGCTGTTAAATATAAATGCATTACGATATGTAATTTACAATTACATATTACTTATTGTTCATTTTTTTGTATTCAATATATGTATCTTAACAATGATCGTTGACACACCATTTAGTTTAAACTGAACTATTATATTGATTCTGTTTCACCAATGATCATTCGAGAATAAATTCTTTAAATGACTAATCGTGATGATAAGTGAAAACTTATCATCTTCTTGTAATTTGATGAATCATGTGAACGAACTGGAAAGAGATAGAATGGGAGGTAAACTCTTCATTACATATTATAGCTTTTCAATATGTTCATCAATTTAAAGACGAACAACTAACCGTTATGTTTCTAGACATGAACGACATGCCATTGAATCAATGTTAACGAATTTAACATTCATATGAAGTACACTTAAATCATATGTAATTCATTATACATGTGAAATACAATTAGTATCTTTCAATGATTTGACTTCGAACATATTCAATATTTTTCTTTTAATTACATCTTAGATTATCATGAATGTATGATTATTCATTTTTTCAAATGATGATTTCATTGAGAAGCAGTATTAAGTGACGATGTATTTCTTATCATAAACTGTCACTATACTGTCATAAATATTAGATAAAGAATAGCCTTTGAGAAGAAGAAGTAATTTTATCAGTGAATGACATTCGAATTTTCTAATTATCTATTTGTTTATATCGGGCGTTATAAAATGATTGTTCTATGTTCATATAAGTTTAAATTAGCACAGCTTATGATATGTATTGATAGAAGAGTATAAAAACTATACGTTAGATGCCAATACTAAACAACAATACTTTGTATTAGTTTAAAAAAACACAGACGAGAGACTTCTCAAACATCTTATATACATATCATTAAATATTTCGACTTTATCCTAAAAATTTTTTATTCATATAGTTATTGTTACAATTCATAACAAATTTTTATTATAGTACATATTATTGTCTGTTCATTTTTATAAATTCAATATATACATTTATCTAAATTTTTTGATAAATAACATGTTCATCATCAAAATTAAAAGATAATGATTTAATATATATGAATTTAATTTAATTGCGTCATTATTTTAACGAATTCTTCATAACGAATTTTTCCATCACAATAAATATCAGCATCATGCATCATTTCTTCTGCTTCTTCCATTGATAATTTCTCACCAAGATGTGTCATTATATGCATAAGTTCTTCTTTAGTTATAAAACCTTATTTAAAAAAAATCAAACGAACATCATATGATATAATCTGAGTCACAAGAAATGTATATTTTTTTATCATGGTAGAATAACGATGAAGATTTTAATCATCAAAATAATCATACCTTGACCTTCTTTATCAAAAACACGAAATGCTTCAATAATATCAATTTCATCCTCAATTTCATTTGTTAAATAAATTAGTATTTGTAAAAATTGTTGAAAATTTATTTTATCTATATCATTTTGTTGATATTCATGTTGAAATTGTTTTATTAATATTTCACTTGGATTAAAACCAATTGATCGAACAATTAGACCTAATTCATTTAAATTAATTCTACCTGTATTATGACGATCAAAGAAAGAAAATACTTCATAATATTCATTGATTTGTTCATCTGAATAAGGAATTGATTTTAATTCTGTTTCTGTAATCATATTTGCTTGTTTTTTAGATAATGAATTGAATACAAAAAAAAACAAAATAAAACAAAGAATGCGCCATATGCCATTAACTCTTTAAATCAATAAGAAAAATGAAATCTAGATTTTTGAAATTTATTCTATTAATTAATATCTCATTTTTGGTCATCATCATTAACTGTTCATAAGAATATTTTAGTTTGAATTATATATATAAACAAGTCCTTGGTGGCCTCGATTTGTCTATCTTTCGATAGTCAAACGAGTGTCAATGAACAGTTGACAAGGGTTGTCTGTCTATCGATCAGTTTCTGTATATGCACATGTACATATGCATATGTATATACCTCGTGCACACTCTTATGACGTCGATTTTCATATCTTATCGTAGTAGTTGCTATTCTCTCTCTCGCTCTCTGTTTTCTTTCATTTCGTTTTTTCCTTCACGTCACTATCATTCTCTCTCTCTCTCTCTCTCTCACACACAGTATTGTGTATTTTTTTATTATAGCTGCCTGTCTGTCCATACTTACATTGATTTCAGTCGACGTGTGTTTGTGGCATATAATACTTCATCATTTCATTTTCGCTCTGTCGTCTATCCTTTATATGCATGCAATCGCATAAGCACATGTCAAAGAGATAAGCAACTACTATTAGCATGTCGAGATGGCCAACTATTAACAGCGCTTACTGTCTTTCAGAGTCTATATGATATTGGCAAAAAGATATTGACGACAAAACAAAAACTTCAAGTAAGATAAAACTTAAATAATATGACAGCTGCAATAGCGACATATCGATAAAACAAATCGTAAAAGACGATGAAATAGAAAATTTTCAAATGACCATGCATGAGATAGGTCGTGATATTTACGCATGCTGAGAATTCGACACATATGCATATTTATTGGACGATCTTGACACGTTGTCTATTGTCGTCAATCATTTCTTTTCTTTTTTTTTAATGTATTTCATGTTAGAATAAGTTCAGTACAAGAAAAGTACTAACAATATTTTCTGATGAAATATCAACAGGCAAATCATTTTGAACAGTTCTACATATAAATATAGAAATGACAGCTGCATAAACTAGTTCTATTGCTTTTCTTTCTTTTTTGTTTTTCTTCGGAATACGATCATCGGGTTTTGATGATAATAATGATGATATTGGTCATCATTTACTAAATAGGAAAAGAAAAAGATAAAAATCCCTTTGGTTATAACGTCCTGTGAAGTTTTGATTGCTGTCAAAACAAGAACAGCAACAGCAGACGCAACCGATAATGAGACAATGCCATTTGGCCTAACAGATAGAATTGTTGTTAAGTCAGAAAAAAAACTTTTGCCTCTGTCTATCTATCTGTCATTCAAAAGATGTTGTCACATTTATGTCAAATCTCGTCTTCGCGATTTCGACTTGTGCATTCATCAATCATTAACTTCGCTCTCTCTCTCTCTCTCTCTCTTTCTGTTTCTTATGTTCGTATATAAGCTTTCTGATAGGTCGTTGTCTTGTCTTTTTGACACATCTTCGTGTTCTCTTATGCTCTCTGTTGTTTTTTCTTAACGTGTATTGTCATTTCAACCGATGAGATGCTGTTAACAGACACACGTTTTTCCGATTTACTTCTTATGGGTAGAAGTGTTGATAAGAGTGAATTAAGACTGCACAATTATATTGATACTGTCGTCGAATCTATATATATATATATATATATGGACGGATGGAAGACAAGAAAAAATAATTGAGAAGTAAGAAAGACCATATAGAAGAAGATATCCATCACTGAATTACTAATTTACATTGTTCGCTCTTTGTTTCATCTGAAATAGAACGTTATGTTTCTCTTTCTATGTGTTTGATGTCGATGCAATCATCACTAGCACATTACCGTGGTGGCGCGTAAAAGATCATATTCATGAGGATCCATATTGATGAGTACTGCAAACGAATGTATATGATAGAGAGAGAGCGAGAGAGAGATAGAATGAATGAGAAAAGAAGAAGAGTGAGTAGTATATAATATGAGTATAAAGCGTAAATTGAATTCAATATAACTAGGTGAGTAAGATTGCTAAGTATTGCTTTTATGAAAAATTGTATTGTAGAAATAAATATTTTTAGTATTCATTAATAATAATTATTTATTAGATGTTATTCTAGTAGTGTAAAAAATTCTTTGTTTTATATCGTTTTTATACATACTTAATATGTATGTATTCATATAGTGTTCCATGTTTGTTTATCTATCAACTATTAAAATGATCTTTAAAATATTGGTGAAAATGTAAAGTTTTTCTAGTGATGTAGATTTAATTATTGTTTGTATATTCAATAGTTATTAGTAATAGTAAGAATATCAATATGTATTGAATATATACATATAAGAATATAATCAAGTCAAAATGTTTTTTTTTATCACTATGTAAATATCTACAAATTAAATTTTCGTATATGTGTAACGTTCATTAAGTTGATATATAGCCAATAAACCGTAAAGATCATCATCTGTTGTCTTATCAATAAGTGCAACACCTAATAGTTAACTTTTATTATAATATATATTAAGGTGAATATGAAATTATTTTTCTAACCAATTTATATTTAATTGTCATAAATTAATATGATCAACAAACAAAATATTTGATATGTTTGTTGTTGTTAATAGATTCAATACTAGTTTTGTTATTTGTAAGAGAAACATATCAGCATAAAGTAACTATTCGTAATGTATACATATTTCCATTATGACAAATGGTATTTTTTTACGAATCTTATCATTGAAACAGTTTAGTGTCGAATAAATAATAATAATAATAATAAATCACATGAATTGAAATCATTTTTCGTTGTTAAGTTGTTTTATCAAATGAAATCTTTTTATTGTTAAAAAGAGTTCTTTTCTTTTTTATCTACGAATTTTAATAAGTAAACTAATGAACGAAAATGTTTAAGTAATAAATTTAATCATGAAAAAAGTTTTTTTTTATCTTTCAAAAAATTGTCAACCATTTTTGATCTTCGTTCTTTTTTTTTGTATGATTTTGACATTCTTAATTTTTTCTTTTCTCTCTTCGTCTCTTATCAAAACACATATCCAAAGAAAAAATATTATACGTATATAGACATTTCGTTGACAGGAGAAGAAGAAAAAAAAATAACAGAAAGAAAAGCGCCAAAGTAACTGAATGATTGTGTTGCACGCGTTTATCCGTCATCGACTGATGACAGCAGGCTATTCATAGTCAACTAGATTGAGCAACTGTTTGTCTTTGTGAATATACTGAAGTAAGCAAGGAAACAGCTGGTAATCGAATATTGAAAAGTATGTTCGTCATTGTTATATATTCGCTTGAATAAAGATGCGTACCATGTGCTATATCGATTAGTTACAACGATCATTGTTGTTGAAGATAATAATGATGGCTTTTCTTTTTTAGTTCTTGTACTCAGCTGATCAAACGCGATCTCTCTCTCTCTCTCTTTTTTTTTTCTTCTATTCCTAATTGTTATTATTGATAAAAAGCGAATTAACATTGGCCCAAACCAATTATAGTAATGCATATGTGTATCAGTACACAGAACAGACAGCAGAAGAAAAGTGAAGTTCTATTATGTAGACAGAAGATAAGTAATATGGGAACGATGACAGGAGGCTAGTTGAATGTAAAAGAAAAAGAGAGAGAGAAAAAGAAAGGAAGCAATAGTCTCTTGACATAATGCAAACTACCTTAGATACTGTGAATGCATTATAAAGAGTTATTGTTTGATTGTATATGGATAGAAAAAAAGCAGCCAAGTGTAAAATATTGGCTCTATTGTGTATATGTATGTATACTTTTCATCGGTTCAGCTTATAATTGAAGTTAAATGGTATTTTACCGCGAGCTCTTTTCTCTCTTATTGACGTTTTACTTTTTTCTCTCACTCGCATTGAGAGAGAGAGAGAGAGAGAGAGAGCGAGACAGTTGAACACGCCCAAGGGTGTTCATGTATTTACTTTTCTGGTGTTGGTTTTGTTTCTTTTTCGTTTGTTAGACGATGAGAAGTGACATAATGAGTGGATAGCCTTCTTCCGTCACCTCTTCTCTATCACTTCTCCATCGTTTTTATAATCAATACGTATAAGCGACAACCGATGACATTTCGGATCGATAGTCCGTTGGGAAACACACGTACGAGAATAAATAGAGAGATAGCTAGACAACCTTTATATCTTTTTTTTCTTCTTATTGTAATTGTTTTTCAACAGTACAGAACGAACGAACTCATCAGCATCATCATCTTCTTCTACTCATTTTAAGTGATCCATTGAATTGGCGTGCATGATAGATGAGATAGAGAAATGATTCGGAAAAATATTTGTTAGTTAGTTAGTTTTTTTTTCTCTACTCTACTCTTTAGATATTTTTTTATCATTTTCTTAGTTAGAAGAAAACAGACGTACACAATTTACGATTGATTTCTTTTCAAGTGGCCAAATAATAAAAGAGAATAAGAGAAGAGAGAATACTGCTTTAGTGAGACCATTTATTCATTTCTTTCTCATTTTCTAGTATTTCTTTCTTTTTTTTTTCTCTCATTGTCTTTCTGATTCATTTACGTGTGCTTTTGTTTAGGATATTTGTCCCATTGTTGTCTGTGTAATCACATTGTATGTCAATTTTCAACTTGATAATTTTGACACTTATTATCTATGTCTATATGTGTGTAAATTCAAACCTTCAATCTTCGTCTTACTTTCTGTGGATTTTTTAAATTTCTTCAACTATGACGTTTTGTCACATGTCGTTACACACTTCCATTCTTCTGTTGTGTTGCACGTAGGTTCTCGTTTCACTTTTTTACACTTCGATAAGTGAATGAGTGATTCTCTCTCTCTCTCTTATTCCCTTCATCTATATATATATATATATATATATATATTATAGAAACCTTCCTTTAATATACACAAACAGATCGAAATTGAAGTATGTTGCTGTTTACTCTATCTTATTTCTTTTCAAGCATT